CAAGAACCTGAGGAACATCTCGGAGCTGTTTTACTACGCCCAGAAGGCAGTCCTACACCCCACAGCCCCCCTCTATGACCCTGAGGCCAAGCAGGTAGGCCATCGCTTGGGGCATCATGCACTGGTCCCCAGGAGCCCCGGGGGTGTTGGTTGGGGTGGCAGGGTGGGTTGGCGCAGGCAGCCTGAGGGTGCTGAGCCAGCTTCCCCGCAGTTGAGGCCCGCATGCACCCAGGCCCTGACGCGCATCTTCAGGCTCTCGGATCAGGACCTGGACCAGGCACTCAGTGACGAGGAGCTCAACGCCTTCCAGGTGTGCCCCAGCACTGCCCCTCGGTGCCCAGCCCCGGGAGTCTCTGCTGCCGTTAGTGACGGAATGGGCCATCTCTGGGTGGCTGGCTGACTCCTAGCAACTTTCTCTCGGAGGCAGAAATCCTGCTTCGGGCACCCCTTGGCTCCGCAGGCCCTGGAGGACGTGAAGATGGTGGTGTGCAAGAATGTGGCTGGTGGTGTGTGGGATGGCCGGCTGACCCTGGATGGTGAGGCCGGGGGCCTGGTGGTGTGTGGGATGGCCGGCTGACCGTGGATGGTGAGAGGCCAGGGGCCTGGTGGTGTGTGGGATGGCCGGCTGACCCTGGATGGTGAGGCCGGGGGCCTGGTGGTGTGTGGGATGGCTGGCTGACCCTGGATGGTAAGGCCGGGGGCCTGCTGTGGCTGGGGGCTGTGGGGAGGGGGCGCGCCTGGTGCTCCCACTCCTCTGTCTCGGTGCAGGCTTCCTCTTCCTGAACACACTCTTCATCCAGCGTGGCCGGCACGAGACCACGTGGACCATCCTGAGGCGCTTCGGCTACAGTGACGCACTGGAGCTGACGGCCGACTACCTCTTTCCTCCGTGAGTGGGTCTGGGGCCGACAGTCCGGGTAGGTCTCGCTCAGCGGCCGTCTGGGGTCGTGCCCTGCAGCACAGGCCACACTGCCTGGCTGAGCCCTGAACCCCTGGGCATCCACAGAGCTCTGAGTCGGGGAGGGGCTGGCCCTTAGCAACTCTACGCTCGACTTGTTCACCCTGTTGGGGTTGGCGGATTGGGGTGTGGCCTGGGGGCCTCCACTGGGCCGCTCACATGCTGGAGCCAGATGGGCACCCTGCCCTGTCGCAGCGGCAGGGTTAGGGGCGTACAGGAGCATCTGGGTCCTCAGACAAGGCCGGCAGGGTGACAGATGTGCTGAGCGCCGGGGCACAGTCTCCTGGGAACTTGACACGCTGTCGCCTCCCTGCAGGCTCCACGTGCCCCCTGGCTGCAGCACTGAGCTCAGCCACCTCGGCTACCAGTTTGTGCAGAGAATGTTTGAGAAGCACGACCAGGTGAGAGCACGGCGACTCCCCTGCCCCCACTTCCCCGCACACGTCACCACAGCCCCTCCCCTGAGAAGTACGACCAGGTGAGAGCACGGCGACTCCCGTCCCCCCACTTCCCCGCAGACGTCACCACAGCCCCTCCCCCGCAGGACCGCGACGGCGCCCTCTCGCCCGTGGAGCTGCAGAGCCTCTTCAGTGTGTTCCCGGCAGCTCCCTGGGGCCCTGAGCTTCCGCGCACAGTCCGCACGGAGGCCGACCGGCTGCCCCTGCACGGATACCTCTGCCAGTGGACGTAAGCAAGGCACGCGCCACGCCCCCCCACTGCGCCACCCTCCCCACCATAACGCTGTGCCTCCCGCCCACCCCCAGTCTGGTGACCTACCTGGACGTCCGGAGCTGCCTCGGGCACCTGGGCTACCTGGGCTACCCCACCCTCTGTGAGCAGGACTCCCAGACCCACGCCATCACAGGTAGGCACCCACCTTCCCTGAGCCTGGGCCCAGCACCCTGGCCGCCGCCCTAACCTGGGTCCCTCCTCACAGTCACCCGTGAGAAGAGACTGGACCAGGAGAAGGGACAGACGCAGCGGAGCGTCCTCCTGTGCAAGGTGGTAGGGGCCCGCGGAGTGGGCAAGTCCGCCTTCCTGCAGGCCTTCCTTGGCCGCAGCCTGGGGGTAAGCACCCTACATCCCCCACCCTAGGGGCTCCAGTGGCCGGGCAGGGCAGTCCGGGGAGCCAGCGAGTCTCAGGGCCTCCCCTCCCTCAGCACCAGGACACCAGGGAGGAGCCTCCCGGCTACACCATCGACACGGTGCAGGTCAACGGGCAGGAGAAGTACCTGATTGTGAGTGCTGGGGGGCCGGCCAGTGCCTGAGGGTGGAACTGGGGACACCCAGGCCTGCCTGGCAGAGCTGGCCCAGCACAGCCCTTGGGGGACCCAGCCCCAGGGACCCTCCCTGAGGTCACCATCTGTCCTAGCTCTGTGAGGTGGGCCCAGAGGGCCTGCTGGCCACGTCGCTGGACGCCGCCTGTGACGTTGCCTGCTTGATGTTTGATGGCAGTGACCCAGAGTCCTTTGCACACTGTGCCAGCGTCTACAAGGTGGGGTCCTGCAGGGGCCACGTGGCCGTGGGGCAGGGTCTGTCCCGCCAGCTGTGCCTCAGCCACCCCAGGACTGGACCTCACACTGCTGTCTGCTCACAGCGCCATTACATGGATGGGCAGACACCCTGCCTCTTCGTCTCCTCCAAGGCCGACCTGCCCGAAGGTGTCCTGCCAGCCGGTCTGTCGCCGGCCGAGTTCTGCCGCAAGCACCGGCTGCCTGCTCCGGTGCCGTTCTCTTGTGCCGGCCCGGCCGAGCCTAGCGCCGCCGTCTTCACCCAGCTCGCCACCATGGCCGCCTTCCCGTGGGTACCCGGCAGCAAAGCCCTGGGCCCTGGCTGTGTCTGTCATCTGGGCAGTGGGCAGCTGTGGGGTCAGGCCTGCATCTGGGGCCAAGGTTGCGGGGTGGAGCTTTGTGTGGCAGAGGGAGCCAGTGCCCAGGCGTGCCCCTCCATGGCCTGGCGTCTGCTGGCTGTGCCTCTGGTCTGGGAACCCAGCCCGTCCAGGACCTGGGAGGGTGCCCCGCAGCAAGTGGGGGGCCCGTGCCTGAGGCATCTCTCTCTTGCAGACACTTGGTCTACGCAGAGCTGCGTCCCTCCTCCTTCTGGCTCCGGGGGCTGCTGGGGGTTGTCGGGGCCGCCGTGGCCGCAGTTCTCAGCTTCTCGCTCTACAGGGTCCTGGTGAAGAGCCAGTGAGGGCCCTGGTACCCAAGCCCCTCTCAACCTGGGTGTGGCTCTGCTGCGGCAGCACAGCTGGGTGCAGGCCAGGCCGCCATGCTGGGAACACCCTTCTGCTGCCTTTCTGCTTCTGAAGGCAGGTCTGTCTGTCTGTCTGCAGCGGGGCCTCGTGCTGCCACACACTGCCCTGGCTCCTCTCCGACCCCCAGGGTTCCACTGGGCTGTCGGAGCCTTGGCGGCTGAGCAGGAGTCCCAAGTACCGGCCACGCTGTTGGGCATTGCCCACCTTGGCAGAATGTGTATTGGCCTGGGGAGCACGGGTGTGGAAGCCGGTGACCCCAGACCCGGAATTCTCAGGGCTCTACCCGCCTTTCTGGTCCTGGGTGGCCAGTGGATATGGAGGGCTGGGAGGCGGCTCTGGGTGGGGGTCTCCCCTCCCTTGAATTTGGAGCCACAGCAGAGGACAGGAGGTTGGGGTTCCCAATTAAACTTCACTGTGTCTTTTTCCATCTCTCGGATCCGTCTCTGAAGACAACTTACCTGGAATCAACCTCAAATGTGTTACTTGTCTTGATGTGGGCTGCCAATGTCATTCCTCCCTTCGTCCCCGCATCCCTGTCCTGAGGTTCCAGGGGTGTGTGTGTGGCCTCTGGAAGGTCCAGTTAGGCTGTGGCCTGGGAGCTCCAGCGTCCGATAGGGGGAGCCCACTGTAGGTGGATGGTGCGTGCTTGGCCTGGACTGGGGGGCGCTGGTGCCTGAGATGTTTTCCTGGTGACTGACCCCTTCCTGGGGTCCAGTGTCCCCTTGAGCTGCCCACTCACTCCCCAGAGCATCTTGCCAGCCTGGCTGAGCTGTGCCAAGAACCTGGGCTTATGTGACCAGGGGTGATCACTGCCTGCCACAGCCCCAGGGCCCTGGCCCGAGGGGAGCAGGATGGGCTGGAGGGAGGGACAGGCTTGGAGTTGAGCTCGGATGCCTGCTTCTTGGGACCCACAGCATGGGCTTCCCAAGGCCGCCCAAATAACCGCAGGCCTGGCCCACACGGGCTCTGCCTTGGAGCTTGTGGCATTGGGCCCCGAAGCCCCTCCCCTGACTCATGCTGTCTTAGCCCGCTGTACCCCGTGGCTGCCTGCTGGGACCACTGCATCCCTAGGGGGAGCCGTCTGAGTGGCCCTTGCAGGGGCTGCCATAGTCACACGTGTCTTGTTTGTTACCTCCGTTGTTGAGGCGTTGGTCCACTCTCCCAGGAGCAGGTCCCCTAACCCCAACTGCAGCCCTGCCCTCTGGGGGTTCTGCTCTGTCCGAATGCCCCTTGTGTCCAGCCCTGGCGCCGCCTTAGGGTGGGAGGTTTTGCTCTCTTGCATGGAGCTGGAAGAGCAGTCAGTGGCCTCCAGCCCAGGGCATGGATGAGTGGGCTGGGCTTCGTGGTCAGAGCCCAGGCAGCTGCAGCAGGGTCTCCCTCATCCTAGGAGGTGGCTGTGCGGGGTGTGGGGCCAGGGGGGCTTCCTTGCTGCACTATAGATAGAGGGTGTATCTGCCCCAAGCAGGGAACTCCAGCCGGTTGAATGCATGAACTGCGTGGAGCACTGGGTCAGCCGGGAGGGAGCAAGCAGGGATCAGGGAAAGCTTCCTGGAGAAGGTGGCATCTTCACAGGCCTGAGCCCAGGAGGGCTGTGAGAGGGCGAACGGTCTTGTATGGGGGGTTTTAGGTGCCGCCTATCCCGTGACTCCATTTACCAGCTGCTGCCGCGGAGGTCGTCCAATGCGCTGGAGCTGCGCCAGAGCGGGGGTGGGGGCCGGCACTGGGACGCGGCGCTCGCTGGAGGCGGTTCCTGTCCGGGATGTGCGTCCGCGTGCAGGGTGCGCGCGTGTCCTGGCCGCGCGTGGCGCCGTGTGCGGCAGGGGCGGGCAGGCGGGCGACTCGGTGACGCGGCCCAAGCGCGGCGCCGATCGGAGCGGGCGGAGCGGGCCGGCTGGGGCGGAGCGGAGCGGAGTCGTCCGCAGAGCAGCCCCTCCCGGCCGCGGCCGCCGACCCCGGCCCCCGGCCCGGCTCTATGGACAGGAGCTCGCTGCTGCAGCTCATCCAGGAGCAGGTGCGTCGGGGGGTGGTCTGGGGAGCTGGCACCGCCCCCAATGCGGCCCTCCTGCCGCTGAGCTGAGCTTGTGCGGGACCGAGCTCCCCGAGAGCCCCGCTCGGCACCCACCCCATCCCTCCACGACCTTGGCCCCTGTGTCTTGGGCCCCAGGAGAGGACTGACTGGACTAGGGCTCCTGGGGGAAGGGGAGGGAGAGAGGGTGGAAATGGGGAAGGGAGGGAGGGCTGGCGGGCGGCTGCTCTTGGACCTTGGCCCTCCCCTTCCTGGATGGGTAGGGTGGAAGATGGGGGAACAGCTGAAGAGCTGGAGAACTGGGACCCAGGCACCAGTGCCCTGCCAGCTCCTGGGATCAAGTAGGGTCCCAGGCAACAGGCAGGCATGGGGCCCCTGTCCCAAAAGTGCCTGGAGCCTGAGCCTGATGCTCCCAGCCAGCCTGGTCCAGCCCTTTGGTCCAGGGGTCTGGCCCACACTCAGGCGTTGGTCGGCGGCTCCTCACTGCAGCAGCTGGATCCCGAGAACACAGGCTTCATCGGTGCAGACAGCTTCGCTGGCCTGGTGCACAGCCATGAGCTGCCTCTGGACCCGGCCAAGCTGGACATGCTGGTGGCCCTGGCTCAGAGCAATGAGCAGGGCCAGGTCTGCTACCAGGAGCTGGTGGACCTGGTCAGTGCCACGGTGGGCAGGTTAACTGTCCTAGTCAGAGGAGGTGGGCGGGTGGCCCTCAGCGGGAGGGCTCTTGTGGATGTGGGGAGCTGGGTGAGCCCCGCAGGCAGGGGTGCTGTGGGGAGGTCCGTGGCCCATGCTCAGGCCCCTGTCCTCAGATCAGCAGCAAGCGCTCCAGCAGCTTCAAGCGGGCCATTGCTAACGGACAGCGGGCACTGCCCCGGGACGGGCCGCTGGACGAGCCGGGCCTGGGTGTCTACAAGCGGTTTGTGCGCTACGTGGCCTACGAGATCCTGCCCTGCGAGGTGGACCGCCGCTGGTACTTCTACCGACACCGCAGCTGCCCACCCCCCGTGTTCATGGCCTCGGTCACCCTTGCCCAGGTGGGCCCCTCAGCCGCTGCCCCGGGAGCCTCCCATGCTCCTGGCCTTGACCAGCCTAACACTCGTGTCCCCAGATCATCGTGTTCCTGTGCTACGGGGCCCGCCTCAACAAGTGGGTGCTGCAGACCTACCACCCTGAATACATGAAGAGCCCCCTCGTGTACCACCCCGGCCACCGCGCCCGTGCCTGGCGCTTCCTCACCTACATGTTCATGCATGTCGGGTGAGTGGGGCTGCTGCCCAGTGAGGCCCCCCCCACCCCATCTGCCGTTCCATCAAAGGCTCAGCCTCAGGGCAGGTGCAGCAACTTGAGGAGAGGGCTGGGGGTGGGGCCTGATGGCTGACCCCACCCCTCATGCCCATTTGCTCCCATGTGGCCAGGCTGGAGCAGCTGGGGTTCAATGCCCTCCTGCAGCTGATGATCGGGGTGCCCCTGGAGATGGTGCATGGCCTGCTCCGCATCAGCCTCCTCTACCTGGCGGGCGTGCTGGCAGGTGAGGCAGGTGCGCACCCCCGCCCCCTATCCTGGCCGGCCGGACCCTCACCCGCCGCTTGCTCTCACAGGCTCCTTAACCGTCTCCATCACCGACATGCGGGCCCCGGTGGTGGGAGGCTCCGGCGGGGTCTATGCCCTGTGCTCGGCACACCTCGCCAACGTCGTCATGGTAACGGGCCTGCCCGGTGGGGGGCGTGGGGAGGAGCCCCTGGCAAGCCTCACGGCCTCTCCTCTGCACACCCCCCTAGAACTGGGCTGGGATGAGATGTCCTTACAAGTTGCTGAGGATGGTGCTGGCCTTGGTGTGCAGTGAGTAGGGACTGAGGGGGAGGGCGGGGGGGCCTCTCAGCCTGCAGCCGGGGCACCTCCCACCTGCCGCGTCCCTCTGCAGTGAGCTCCGAGGTGGGCCGGGCCGTGTGGCTGCGCTTCTCCCCGCCGCTGCCCGCCTCGGGCCCACAGCCCAGCTTCATGGCGCACCTGGCAGGCGCGGTGGTGGGGGTGAGCATGGGCCTGACCATCCTGCGCAGCTACGAGGAACGCCTGCAGGACCAGTGCGGCTGGTGGGTGGTGCTGCTGGCCTACGGCACCTTCCTGCTCTTCGCCGTCTTCTGGAACGTCTTTGCCTACGACCTGCTTGGCGCCCACATCCCCCCACCGCCCTGACCGGCTACCTGAGGCTGCACGGGCCATGGCTTGGCACATGGTGGCCACCCCCCATGGGCCTTCACGCCTGCCCTTGTGAGCGGACGTCTCAGGGCTGCTGTGCCCCTCGGGTGTGGGTGGCCTCAGAGGAGACCCTGTCCCGGCCAACTCCCTACCCCCAGGACTCGCAGTCTGAGCCTTTTTGGATAATTAATAAATATTTTACACAGCACCAGGGGGCTATCCCAGGCTCTGGAAACTTGTCAAGACCTCCACACCTGCTGAACGGACCGTGAGGGCCCTGCCCACCACAAGAGCCTGGCTTCCCTCCCTGTGCACCTCTGCACCTGGGGTCACGTGTGGGACTTGTTCCCCGGGCCACAGGTGCTGTGTCTGTGGGAGTCAAGGGCACCCGGGAGGGCTGGGGATCAGGTGTGTGTCCAGGCCAGGAGTGTGGTCAGGCGAGTTTGGTGAGTGTTTATTGAACTCCCATGGTGGCGGCCTCTCTGGCATCCAGTGACACCCAAGGCCTGAGGTTGTGTGGCGGGTGAGTGAGCCAGGGCCATAGCTGAGTCCACTCAGCCTGGGTCCTGCGCTTCTTGGCTGGCCTAGCATCCTTGTGGGTGGCCAGGCTGGGGCCAAGTTTGGGCAACAGGTGTGGGCACAGCCTCTGCCCCACGGCCCAGGTCCACAGCACTGTCTCCACTAGTTGAGGAGTCCACTGTCCTGAGGCACTGGCTAGGGAGGGGCACACGGAGTCAGGCCCAGGGCACATGCCCCCCCACCCTGCCCATGCACAGATCGCTCACCTTGGTTCAGAGCTCGAACCCAGCTCAGGGACAGCAGGTTGCGCCTGAGGGTGTACTGTGGGGCCAGAAGGCTGGGCACTGTGGCCACTGCCTCATCTGACAAGGCTTCCAGCTTTGGAGCTCCGGCCGCCAGGGCTGCTCTGAGCAGCGAGAAGACAGCAGCCAGACACCCCAGCAGGACAAGCTCTGGGAGACCCTGCTCCTGCTCCCAGTAAAACATGTAAGGGTCCTGACTGCCGGCTTCACAGACAAGGATGCCTATGCACTCAGGTCGCACCCACCCGACTCACCTCTGGTGGGCCCACATGGCGGGGGGCACACAGCTTTGCGACTGTGGCCCCCGAATCTGGCAGGAGTCAGAAAGCGGAGGTCAAGCAGTGCACAACCAGTTTAGGGGAATTGCTGGCCACAAGCTGCTGCAGACATGGCCAGAAGCGGCCTCTCTGTGGGAGGCCAGGTCAGGATGCCTGGGGTGGTGGACCCACCAGGAACCCCCCCGCCCGGCACCGGGATGAAGCCCCGCCCCCACGAAGACAAGCCCCTAGGAGGCCCCGCCCACGAGGAAGCACCGCCCCGCCGATGCCACACCCTGAAGACCCGCCCTACGGAGGCCCCGCCCATGGGGAAGTACCGCCCCGCGAGCGGGCCGCACACCACCGGCAGCCTCCAGGCTGGCAGCCGCTCCAGCTCCCTTCGCGTCACGTGCTTCTTCGCTCGGCCCTTGATGGCCGCCAGCAACTTCTCCCGTTACCTGGGAAAGCGGATGAGGGGAGGTCCGGCCACGGGGACACTCGCCCTACGGATCCCTTTATCCCTTACCACTCTACCAACGGTCCACGGCTTCCAGCCGCTCTCGGGGGCCCGCGCGCGCTCGTAGCACCTATTCGGTGGCGCTCCAGGATGGCAGACCAGCAAGCCGCCGGGGTCCTCCCAGCTCCAGAGCGCGTGGGAAGCCGCCCTGTTCACGTGGAGGGGACGGGCCTGCTGTCGGGGGCGTGTCTATGCAAATGATCAGCCCTGAGGGCGGGGCTGGTTGCCAGGGGCGGAACCTCTGAAGACGGAGCTATCTGGTGGGGGCGTGGTCTGCTTGGGGGGCGGGGCCTCTGCCGATGGGCCAGCTGCTGGGGGTGCGGGCGGCTGCCGGGGGCGGGACCTTTGGGGGGGGGGGGGGGGCCGGTTGCTGGGGGCGGGGCCTCTGAGGATGGGGCCTTTGCGGGCTGGGGCAGGGGCGGAATCCCACGTGGGCGGGACAGGCTTTTAGGGAAGCACGCCCTCAGCGAACCACGGTAGGCATCTCACGGGGAAAATCGAATGTATGGGACGGCCGCCACCAAGGCCAGTTCTGAAAAGGCCTCAGAGGGGCGGACCGGGCTCCGCGAACGCCGACCCTGAAGAGCGCGGGCCCAGGGATCCGGAGCGTTCCTCGCAGTCCGCGACGTCGCGGGCCCACTGTCCCCGCCCAGGCTGGCTGGGCGCACGCGCGGCCCTACCCGCCCCCCGACGCCTGCGTCCCCGCTGATCCCGCCTCCGGCCGGAAGTTCCGGCGGGGGAGCTGGGCCGGGCCCGAGCGGATCGCGGGCTCGGGCTGCGGGGCTCGGGCTCGGGCTGCGGGTGCAGGGCCGCCAGGCGCGGAGCTTGGGAGCGCAGCCCAGGCCGTGCCGCGCGGCGCCATGAAGGGCAAGGAGGAGAAGGAGGGCGGCGCGCGGCTGGGCGCTGGCGGCGGTAGCCCCGAGAAGAGCCCGAGCGCGCAGGAGCTCAAGGAACAGGGCAACCGTCTGTTTGTGGGCCGAAAGTACCCGGAGGCGGCGGCCTGCTACGGCCGCGCGATCGTGAGTGCGCCCGTGCGGGGAGGGCGGCGACGGCGAGGCGGAGGGCCAGGCCCGCGACCGGCCGGCCCCGCCGAGGGTCTGGCTCCTCCGCGGCGGGTATCCTGGGCCCCGAAAGCCCAGCATTGGTTCTCGAGCCCAGCGCCAGGTGCCGGGGAACGAGGGTGGGATGCTAGATGGAGGCCGGCCGGGTGGGTGGGAGGCCAGGGGCCCTCGCCCCTTGAGGACCCCCGGTCCAAAGCTGGGACTCTCCAAAGATTTGGAAGACTACAAAACCATCGGAAGTGTGTAGGCTGAGCCAGTAGTCCCCTGTCTGCAGATCCTTGGACGCAGAGGCTTTGACTACTGGGAGGTCTAGTTTCTTGAATCTAGCCATATCGCAGACGCTGGGACGGGCCCTGGGACAGAGGGGGCACGCTGAGCCTACGCCCTGATGCGGCTGGCCCGGCCTTGGTCCGTAGACCCGGAACCCGCTGGTGGCCGTGTATTACACCAACCGGGCCCTGTGCTACCTGAAGATGCAGCAGCACGAGCAGGCCCTGGCCGACTGCCGGCGCGCCCTGGAGCTGGACGGGCAGTCTGTGAAGGCTCACTTCTTCTTGGGGCAGTGCCAGCTGGAGATGGAGAACTATGATGAGGCCATCGCCAATCTGCAGCGAGGTTGGCTGACAAGCTGCCCGGTTGTGGGGCCCCTGGGACCAGGCGGTTGGACCGGCCAGGGTGACTTGAAACCCTTGTTCCCTAGCTTACAGCCTGGCCAAGGAGCAGCGACTGAACTTTGGGGACGACATCCCCAGCGCTCTTCGAATCGCGAAGAAGAAGCGCTGGAACAGCATCGAGGAGCGGCGCATCCACCAGGAGAGTGAGCTGCACTCCTACCTTTCGAGGCTCATTGCGGCGGAGCGTGAGAGGTGGGACCCTTACCCCAGGCCGCCCTGTCTGGGGATAATTCTGAATAACCAATCACCAACACGAATGTTTACTGGTTTTACTGGCGAGCGGTAAATGTGAGGAAGCAGCCTAGATGTTAGCTTTGAGGTTGGGGTGTGGTCAGATATCTCCTGGCCAGGTCTGTCTCTGACGGGCTCCTGGTCATCCCCCAGGGAGCTGGAAGAGTACCAGCGGAACCACGAGGGTGATGAGGACGACAGCCACGTCCGGGCCCAGCAGGCCTGCATTGAGGCCAAGCACGTGAGGGTGCCCCCATCCACATGTGGGTCTGTGTGTGTGCACGTGGCACGGGAGCGTCCCCACCTTGCTGTGGGTCCGTGTGTCCCTGCCCCGTGTTGGGTCTGTGTGCCACAGAGGAAGGAGGTGGGGTGTCCCTCCCAAGCACTGCTCTACTTTCCACAGGACAAATATATGGCGGACATGGATGAGCTCTTCTCTCAGGTGGATGAGAAGAGGAAGGTGAGTGTTGCTGTGGGTGGCAGGTGCTGGAGCACGCCCCTTCCCAGCCTCTGACCCTGTGCCCATGTGCCACAGAAGCGTGACATCCCCGACTACCTGTGTGGTAAGATCAGCTTTGAGCTGATGCGGGAGCCGTGCATCACGCCCAGTGGCATCACCTATGACCGCAAGGACATCGAGGAGCACCTGCAGGTGAGGCTGTGGCCAGGGCGTGGGCAGGGCCAGCAGCACCGTCCTGTGCCCGCTGAGCACCCTCTGCCTGTTGTCGCTGCAGCGTGTGGGTCATTTTGACCCTGTGACCCGGAGCCCCCTGACGCAGGAACAGCTGATTCCCAACCTGGCTATGAAGGAGGTCATTGACGCATTCATCTCTGAGAACGGCTGGGTAGAGGACTACTGAGGCTCCCCACCCTGCCCAGTGTCCTGGCCCAGGAGGGCGGAGGCCCCAGCCCCTGTACATAGTTTGTGTCCCTGGCCACCCTGTTCCCCTCCCCCCAAGTTCTGCTGTTGGGCTCTGGACTGTTCCCTTCTCAGCACAGCTCTTGCTGGGCCGTGATCCTCCCCGTCCCCCCTTCTGGGCTGGAAAAGCAGGTGAGGGTGGGCTGGGCTGAGGCCCCTGTGGCCACTGTCTGTGTAATAAAATCCGTGAGCACAAGGTGAGGGAGTGCTCTGTGTGGCAGGAATGCCTGCTGGCTGCTCCAGTTAGCCGAGGAAGGTGGAGATGAAGACGCTGGTGTCAAGATTGAGCGTGGCATGCCACCAGCGGTCAGGGAAGTACAGCACCTGGTGGAGGAAGGGGTGCAGCAGAGATTACCTGGGAGCCTCTGACTTGGCCCGGTCCCCTCCTGCCAGCCACTGACCTCACCAGCCCGGATGGTGCACTCCAGGGGCCGGGCAGACGGTGGCAGGGCTGGGTATGTGTCCCGGAGCCAGGCCAGCGTGGTCTTGTTGGGGTGGAATTCTGGCGTCTTCTCAGGTGGGTAGAGGAACCAGCGCTGTGAGCAGGAGCAGTAGCGTCACCCTTGCCCATTTTGGTCATCCAACCCTGAACCCCAACACCCACCCCATGCTGACCTTGCGGCCGTAGATCACCTCTGAGTACCCAGGCCCGTGCCAGTGGAAGGGCACCCCCGAGCCGGCTCCTGTGGGGTTACGAGCACCTGGTGACACACCTGGTTTGTACCCAC